GTTGGTTCAAAGTGGGTGATTAAAGGATTGTTGGAAGTCGAATAAACGTTCAAACTAATTGCAGTGTGCATGTAAATCTTGAGTGGTTGCCATGCCAGCAGCTGGTTCATGTGCCGGCCTCCCGCTCTCGACCAGGTCTGATACAAGTGGCAGCCAGCCTCTTCACGTGGTCGTATCTGTATCATTGTGTTGATTCATTCCATGATATTATGCAGTAATGTTACTTGCAAATGCATCCATGAGTCCTTTTAATTATTTATCTCATTTTGTTATTCCTTTTATTCCTCATGTCTCCATTTAGCATCATTGGTTGTTTGTTTTTTTAAGAATCTCCAAGCCGTAGTGTATGTGTGTCATTTGCTGTAACTGTTTGCGCCAGGTCCCGGGCAGTCTCTCTGGTCTCTGTCACCGGTACTCGTCGTTGTAGGCATGGTAGGGGGTAAAAGGATAGCTTGTTGTGCTATGGGAGGATATCTCACTGCCGTCTGGCAAAGAAGGGGGAGGGCCGTTAGCAGATGTAAATTTGATGAGTCTGCTGCAGTGCTGTAGAGTTAGGATGATCCATAAGGCATGTGGGCGTGTTGGTTAGAAACCATAGGTATTATGTAGACAAAGGTTTCATGTGTCTCGGTGTTGAACGGCTTTCTTTTGAGCCGAGAACGCCGTGGAGGAAGGAGCGAGAGAATACGGTACACAGTGCCGTTTTAGTAGGAGAATTTAGGTGCAAGACTTGGCGCCTCCCTTTAGTGTGCGCGAGTCAGATTCTTTAGGTGTTCGGCATAATGACGGACATGCGAGGTTTTGTTGTTGTTGTTTTTTTTACATAAGAAGGGGTTGTCACTTGAATTCTTATTATTTAGGTCCTGTTTTCACGGGGTAGTTGGGTTCTTGTCGGATCGAATGCGCCTCTGGAATTGGGATTACTATTACTTTCTTGTTCAAGGAGATCGGAGTTATCTTTTGTTTCTTTTCCCTGATGTATCTGTCAGTTAGAAACAACGCCCCCGACTAGACGCAAAAATAAACTGTTATTAAGGGGATGAGGAAAAGGGGGCATCACCTTTATTAATTTAGATAGTTTTCAGAATCCCATGAGTTGTTAACTTCCAGCCATGTCTCTACTTTTGACATCAGTTATCCGGTTTCGAAAGATGTGGAAACTTGTAGCGCTGTTAACTGCACTGTCTACGAAATAATCGCATTATGAGAGGGCTTTGCGTGTTTTGTGCTATGTAGAGTCGACACATTTGGGTCATGTAGCTGATAGAAGCAGTTTCGAACAATACAAGGAAACAAGCAAGGGTAAATGACGAGACCCTCTGCCACTGGTGCGTCTCATGTACAAAACCTACCTGGGCTATTCGAGTGAAATGGTTTTGCTAACAGAAAACTCCAAAGTAATTTTGTTTTTTTCAACAGCTACAGACAGCATAAAAAGGATAGACAATTTAGCATGGCAACTGCATTTGTTTTCCATAGCACGGTTTAGCCTAGAGAGCCCGTCTGTGAATCAGCTGTGATGTGTTGGTGGGACAAAGACCAGAGAGCAGCCAGGGGACCGTTCCTGTGTCCTCGTTGTTTTTCTGTACATTGATGTGTTACTTTTGCTCCCTTCTCGCAGTGAAAGTCACTCCCGGTTCTATGCAGCGCAAATAATTTTGAGCTTTGAATACCTGCATTATTTGGATCTCGTATATCGTGATCTGAAACCTGAAAATTTGCTCATAGACCCCCAGGGGTACTGCAAAGTAAGTGGTCCACGCTATCACGCTCGAGTCCACCTCCACCTCCACCACCACCACCACTACCCACCTCCGCCACCACACACACTCCACAGAGTTATTATTCTATTGTATCTCTGACACACCCATCCAAGGTATGGCCCTCCCGCCTCATCCACGTATTGGTTGTTGAGCAATGTTTGGACATGTCCGTTTGGAAATGTTTTGTTCTCATTATCTCTTAAGTTTACGTTTTCAGTTGTTTTACAAACATTTTTTCCTTCCCCGAGTTCGCAAATCAGCTGTCTACGGCCATGTTAGCAATATTGCAGCTGCTGCTTCCGCGGAGCAACACACTTTAACAGTGTTTTTTCTTACGAATCTTTTTTTGGGGTTCTTTTTTTTAACACCACAAAGGCAGGCCAAACTTGCCTCTAATGGTTTTCATAGATTAGTTAGTGTGTGCTCTGATTTTTTTTAATCAAGCGTTTTTTGCCTCTAAAATCCTAACGTGTGTTTCTTTTTTAATTTTTTTTTCGCTTTTTGAAATTATTGTGCTGTCAAAATTTATGATTAGCACAGAATTCTCCTTTTTTTAGCGTGTGATAGTGGCTTTGAGCACAGTTAATGAATAGAAAAGTTGGAGAACTATCCACCAACGTCGCCTGGATCAATATCCTAACACAAGGCCTTAGACAGGTATTGGCGGTCGGTCTGTTGACTTTTCGTTGTTTTTTTTATCTTTTGTTTGTTTTTAATTCATTATTGTTTATTCGAGTATAGAAGCAGTCCAGACGTGTGTCTGTGCGTCGGTTTGTTTGTTTGTGACTGATATATATACATATATATCTTCCACTTCTCTTTGACAGCGAGCCGCATTCCCGATTTTACGCTGCACAAATAGTGTTGGTCTTGGAATACTTGCATCACTTGGATATTATGTACAGAGATTTAAAACCTGAGAATTTACTCATAGATTCCTACGGTTACCTAAAGGTATGGCTGACAAAATAGCGACCCTCAAATCTCTCACACTTGGCCAGGGTTCATTCCCTCTCCCTGTTTGTTTTTTTTTTCTTTTCTTTTTTTTCTCCATTTTTTTCCTCCTCCTAGCCCACCTCGATTTCTGAGTACTTCCTGCGTTATCCCCATTTACCTTCTCACCCCTGCTCTCACTCAGGCTCAATCTCCCGGATTTGACTAACTTTTAACAATCCCCTCTTTCGTTTTAATGCTTTGTCCCCTCGAAAGAAATTAAAAGCATGTTGAGGAAAGTTGTTTTTTTTTTTTTTCCATTGAGTGCACATGAACAAAAAAAGTGAATTTTTCTTGAAAAGTAAGAGTGATAAAAATCGATGGAAAACTTAACACTCATGAAAGTCGTTGGATCTTTTGTCCCAAGTGAATGATAACTAACAACATAACACTAATGGAATCTCTTGTTCTCTTCCCGACATTCGGTCATACTTAAACTTAAATTGCCGCCGATCACGGAGATTAGCCGCAAAACTATTTAGTTTTTTTTATTTATTTTTTTTTTTTTTTAATTTCACTTCCCCGTCCCCCCTTTTTTTTCGTGAACGCCGGAGATGATAAACTTGTTCTTCCCTGTCCTCTCACAACCTTCTGTAAGCTTTATAATTTCCTGGTGATGGTGCTTCCGTGTACAGGTCTCAGCTTCCATTGATGATTATTCTGTGTGTAGGCCTAACCTGTCGCTTGCATAGTTTCTCGGCTCGGTTTCTGGGTTGCTGTTTTTTTTTCCTCCCCTTCCTTTTTATTTCCCATTTACCTTTTTAGGGAGAATTGTAAAAACCCTCTTCTTTTATGAGTTTACATACGGGGTTCTGCTTTGTATTTTAGTGGGTGTTTTGTACCTGGGTGTACACTGTGCAATATTTTGTTTTTTGCTCTTTGTTACTTGCTTTTTGGTGACGGCGAGAGCACGCCTGGTTGGAACTAGTGACCGGACGCCATGATGGTTTTAGGCTTCCATGTTTGATAGAATCTATACATGTTGCTGTCTTAACATACTTTTAAAAATAAGTTTTAGTTGAGGTTTTACGGCGCTCGCGACTGCATAAGGTCATATGAGCGCCAAGGGGTGGATGTCAACAGAGAAGTCCTTACTGGAAATCGGGCTTACTCTGCTCACTTCTCTAGCTTCAACAGCACAAAGGCTGCTTCGGCTGTCAAGCACCCCGGAAATAGCAGTTCACAAGAGTGTGACAAACATACAAAAGAAGTAGAGGCAAAATGGCGATAGTAAGGATTAAGAAAGAAAAAGCAGCAGTTCCCTGTTGCAGTTCAGGCACAGCTATGAGCATGGTATTGATGAATCAGCCCATTTATGATCCTACTGTGCATAAGAATTTTGTGAATGGCCTATTTTAAAGACACTTCAGTCTGTAGCACCGCGTGGGGGGGGATTGACATACTCGGAGTCGTGACCTAGTGTTTTCTTGGATCTTTGTGAAGGATGTTGGAAGTCCGATTGTGTCAGACTATTTGTCCGTAGTTCTGGTGGTTGATCGAGGTGTCTTCTTTCTGGTTGTCGCTAATTCAAGGAAAATAGGTTAGTAAATCTCTCTAGGCTCATCTCTGTGCCTCATTTGCTCCATTACTGTAGGTAACATGTTCTCGAGGATAACGGTTCTCTTTTATACTGGAAGGTCGATGAAGAAACAAAATATCCGTGTCAATCCAGTCGGTTTCCTTTTCAACCTGTCTTTCCAAAACATTAATACTTTGTTCTTCCAGTAACTACAGGCCCATTTCGACTAACCATAATATTC